CGCGAAAGTCTCTGGCGGCCTGTGCTGGCGGAGAGTTCGCCTCTCGAGAACCCGGTCGCCCGGCTTTCCACCGAAAAACGAATGTTGTGGGTTTGGGGAACTTAGTAACAGTAGGTTAAAACTGGGGTTTGGGGCTTTGGGAAACTTAGCAAGTAGGTTTTGATGTTAATGTATCTTGGGGGGGAGTCCGTTTTCGGATTCAGGGCGTCTGGACTATGGGTTTGGGGTTTTGGCATGGGCTCACAGGAGCTATAGTCTAAACTCCTCATATACCCTGTTATAACCCCTACAGTAATCCCCTTTGTAAAATCCCATATAACCCCCTTGAAGGAGTTTAGACTATAGCTAAAACAAGAAGGAACCCTTGGGTGCAGAGCTTTGGCATTTTGGGTGCAGGGTCCGGGACAGGAGTTTAGGGTTCAGGGTGCTGAATTCCCTGTTAGGGTTCATGTGCCAAAATGCTCCTAGTAGCGTGCGAAAGCGCAAAAACTTCTACTCCTATGAACCCAGATAGCCCAAAGTAGGCATTACTTATAGCCCTCAAAGCCCAGCGTAGCCATACTTGTAGACTTGGATCCGAGAATCGTCAAAGTTATTGTCCCTTTAGGGGTCCCCCAGTGTAGTAGGTACCCGAAGGAAGGGGCAATAATGATGACAACCCTTCATACCTTATAGCGTTATGGTCTTCATGGCAAGATTTCGTGATCCAGGAACATGTTCCGCGGTTTGGGGCCATCCCTCAGCACTGACCTTACATACAGAGATATAATTATATGTGAGGTTTTGCGGTGTAGAACGCGCAAGATGTGTGTACGCATGAACAAAAAAGATCAGAGCATGGAGAACATAATGGAAGCTGGGTTTATGTAGAAGTTGGGATGGAATTTATATACAGGGGCCTAGTATAGTAGCGTGTAACTTTCAGGAATTGGTTTGTTTAGCTGTAAGCCAAGTCAAGCCCAGGATATGTTTAGCAAAACCTAAACCCTAACTTATTACTGGTTCTGGGTAGGGCGTAGGGTTTAGGGTTAGTGGGGAATAAGTGAGTATATCCCTGTTCAATCCCGATATGCTATATTCCCTTGTTCCCTGCAACTTAGAACCAACAAGCAAAGGCTTTTGAGAATGAATGGATGTGACGCCGAACAATTACACCAACACTGGGCCTTACGGTCTCCAATTTGCAGTGTTCCTGTTAACGTGCTGTAGAAGGCACGGTAACTACTGTGGTCCTAAATTTTGCATAATTATTATATAGAGTACCTGAAATACACCTCAAAAGAACGTCAGACAAAATTTCGGCCCCCAAAGTAACAGAATCCCAGAGCCTGTTTCAACACCGGCGTAAGACCCAGAAACAACATACTGAAATTGTACGTCATGTCTGGGGTATGAGGCGCTCGTCCCACAAGAGCCTTCCAGTAAGAGCCATTTACCTGTTGGGAATACAACCCTAAGCCCTGAAACCAAAGGGTCAACTTTGGAAACCTTAGCCGTAAACCCTTCTACCGAGGAGCCTTCTCGAAAATTGTGTCTAACACCGTTTTCTCAGAGTCGAATTTCGGATTCTGCTCGACAACGGTGATGTGCGCACCGCTTCGCAGAACGACTTCTCCCTGGGAGACAAGGGTTTGCATAACGTGGGCCCTTGACCTTCTTACCACTAATACTGAAACCCTCAGTACAAAACAGCCTAGCAGGTTTCATGATTTAGAGAAAACCCGGAGGACTTAGGCATGTGTAGCATGAACAGCATGGGTCAAAAACACAACTAGCATCAAGAAGATCTTCGAATGTATGATGAAATGCCAGTTTCTCGGAAGCACCTATACCCTAAACCTTAACCCTGAACCCTAAACGCGATCTCCAATAGGGACCCCAAACTCCCCTTGTAATCCCCATACATCCCTCGGGTCTGTAGGGTGCCCTTGTTTTGAGAAACTCCCAGATCCCTACCAGTCCTGTTCCATTCGGCCTCGCAGGGGCCTCGTTTGAGTCGTCCTCAAGGGTGCTGTTTGTGGTGGTCCTTTCCTAGACCTCAAAGCTCTAGATTCGCTGGATCCTAAATAAGCCTTCATAAATCCTGAAACCCGAAGCCCTGTGCCCTGCCTCCTTCGGAGTATCCTTGCCGGCCAGCACAGACAGCAAAGTAGACTTGCCGCAGCCATTGGCCCCCACGACGGCAACTTTCTTGCCCTGCAGTTGTGAGTCTTCTTTAGGATCTACAAGGCTCAAGAGTAAACCCTAAATCTTAAACCCTGAACCCCTAAGTCAACCCATTTCAGACCCCTAAACCCTAAACCCTAAAACCCTAAACCCCCTGTATAATGGAAGGAGCCTGATCCACAGTGAGTTCTTCGATCTGAAAAAGGGTTCGGAGCTCGTCATGGGTCCTGCGCAAGCCATTTCAGGCTTCAAGGGTCTAGGGTTTAGGATTTAGGGTTTTAGGGTTTTAGGGTTTAGGGTTTAGGGTTTTAGGGTTTTAGGGTTTCAGGGTTTACGGCGTAGTTTAGGGTTTAAAGAGGGTACCTTAAGGATCCAGATAGCCCAATGTAGGTAACGTCTATAGACTTTAGGGCCCAATGTAAGTATTACTTGTGTACTTGACTCCCTAGGAAGAATCGTAGGGCGCCAGCGGATAGATCAGCATGAGACGGGATTTTTTGGGGGGCCAGAGCTTCAAACCTTCAAAGGTTAGGGTCTAGGGTTTAGGGTTAGGGTAGGTTGCAAACATTTATGGTTGAATTTTGCGTCAGAGGTCCACAGACACGACATACAACCCTCAACCCTGAAGCCAAAGCTCGAAACTCGAAACCCTAAACCGTTAACCGAAACTTTGCCTAAACTCTAAAGCCTACCCCCCCAAGGGTCCATGTGCACAACCCCAATAAGTATTGAAATTGATAATTGTACTGCAGGCTTTGGGGAGGTGTATGATTATTGAGTACTTGGACCCTTAAGGCCCTGAATAAACCCTAGAGGTCCCACGTACGCCGCTAACTTCCAGCACCGCTGATCGCCGAGCGGTAAGATTACCGTCCTCGGATGCTCCATGAAAAGGGTCCTAGTACACTGGGACACCCCAATGGATCTGAACAATAGATCTCCTGAGATCAACGTCTTTGAGATCTTGGACGGATTATATAGGAGTCGCTATGGTTGTTAATAGGGGACTAATGTTTAGATCCTCCAGCTGTTGGGCATGGGGTTTCTCTTCTCAAGTCCTCAACTCTTAACCCCAAACCCCTAAACCCTAAAACCTATACCCTAATTACAAACTGACGGTGAGGGTCCCTGACAGGGATCTGCAGGGTTCTCTTGAGGAAGCCCCATGTCATTTTTCTGGCACCCATTCACTATGACTCAGTGGCATGCTTCAGGTTTTGGTTGCATGGACATCGTGCATAGACCCTCAGAAGCCCTACGTTCAGTCACCAAGGCTGCAGAAACAAGTACCCTACTACGCTTGAAGCCTGATACCGCAATAGTTTCTTTCAACATCTGGGCCGGGGTTAGATGAGCCTCGCACGCATTCTATAATCCGCTCCCCTAATGTTAAACCTCCCCACTCCCCACTCCCCCCAATATCAGACACTCCTATTCTTGTATATCATACGATATCGGGAGGGGGGTTTATGTTAGGGGGAGGGGACTACTATCAACCGTAGTAGCAATCTACGAAGGAAATCATCAAATAACATGCGGGTCCCGTAAACCCTAGCCCCCAACCATGAACCTTAAACACCATCTGAACCTGCAGACTATCTGCCATCAAAGCTAATGTACTCATAGTTTCGGGGTTAAAGTCAAAGGGTCTTTGAAAGGTCTTCTTGGAGGGCCAGGGGGGGCATAGTAAGTATACTTAAGACCATTTTAAGCCACAGAACAACCCCAGTCATCTTTTCTTAACCTACTTACTAAGTGCCCCTGACACCCCGATCAGACAGACCTCAAACACAAACCCTAAAACCCTAAACCCTAAACCCTACAAATCCTAAACCCCAAACCCTAAAAACCCTAAACCCTAAACCCTAAAACGCTAAACCCTAAAAACCCTAAACCCTAGACCCTAAACCCTAAAACCCCCTAACGGATTGCTTCAGAGAGGCAGCGGAAGGCCGTGGCCATGTCGGTGACCTTGGTGAAGGAAGGCTCGTTTCGAAAGTCTGAAGCGAAGGATATGTGGGGGGTTTCCCAAAATTAGGAGTACCCTTTTGGGGGTCCCCATAATAAGGATCACAATATTTTGGGGTCTATATTGGGTTCCCCTTATTTTGGGAAACTACCATGTAGAGTTTGGAATAGGAGGATTTGGGTAAGCCAAGTCCCCAACAGTAGCACCCTATCACAACCATATGAGCTACAGTCTAAAGTCCCATTATTCCCCTTTAGTAAGCCCTCTAGTACACCCTTATATAATCCCCTATATAACCCCCTCTAGGGAAGTCAGACTATAGCTAATATGACCATAGTAGGGTTCTAAGTTTGGTGCTTCTGGTCCCCCCAAGATCTTTGCATAAAGTGAAAGAGCCCCCAGCACGAGCTGTCGCGAATCTAGCGCAGGAGCCTCAACATTGGAACCCAAACAATGTGGGAAAGCCAAAAAGGACAGGGAAATGGAACATGAAATGCGAACTGGATTTAAATATGGCCGTTTTACATAGGGCACGTAATGTAGGGAACGAAATCCTGAGACCAGGGTTGTGTGATTTGTTATACTGTAGTTATAGTTATACAGGCAGTATGCGGACAACAATTTGGCTAGTATTCAAGGTTCCACACTCCCCCTAGAAACCACAACCTCAGCGATGGTGCTTCGCAGCCCGCCTAGTCCACGTAGGTCCTTAGGTAAGGCTTTAGCATGCCGCGTTCCGCCATGAAAGCTAATGAATCCTATAATGGTCGTAGGGTCAAGATCCTTGGCAACGCTGAAGTCTTTTTCTCATCTATTTAACGCGATCTGTGTTGGAGCTATGCGCAGTCGCTGTCTCTGACAGCCACTACGCTTCATTACAATCTAAGCTCGCGGGACGTGTTGTCCACACAACAGCTCTTGAATGAGGGGGATTGCCGGAGGCGTCGTCGCCCCAGGCCGGATAGCCGCCGCACTCATCAACATGGGACTTGCCAACCTGGGCTACTTTTGCTGGTGGCTGTCAACATTTTTCCAGAAAATTAGTGAACGTAGGTTCCGTCTCAAGGACTATCTTACATGGATCCTGAATGTCCTCCCTCGAATTCAATCACATCAAGGCAGTCCTCGTCTTCGTCCTGAAATGCAGTTTGGACGATTGCTCCTGTAGGGACTAGCATAGGATCCCTTCCTCCATTCCTTCCGCACCACCAGTATGCAACAAATTCAGGCAACAGCCATTCTGGTCTTGATTGTTCTCAGGGAAGACCTTCACGTGGGCTATATCTACTAAATTAGAATGCAACTGGCTGTTCCTGCACATAAGACTGCTGTCCCTTTGAAATCTACTCAAAGTGAACCTCTCCCTCTCGCAACCATGAATGTGGAGGCTTCCGGAAGTAAGGATATCCAAAGCCCCGCAAACCCTAAACCCCTCTAAACCCTAACCCTAAACCCTAAACCCTCTAAATCCTTAACCCTAAACCCTCTAAACCCTAAACCCTAAACCCTCTAAACCCTGAACCCCCCATTTCTGCCTACTGTATCCAGCAACCTTGTGGATGGAGTTGCCCACTTGCACCCAATCCTCGGTGACCCAGGTCTTGGGCTTAGGGTTTAGGATTTGGGGTGTAGGGTTTAGGATTCAGGGTTTAGTCTTTCGGGTTTAGGTTTAGTGTTTGGGGCTTAGGGTTCAGGGTTGAGTGTTTAGGGTTTAGGGTTTGGGGTTTAGGGTTTTAGGGTTTAGGATTTAGGGTTTAAATTAGGGTTTAGGGCACAGCAACACTGCATGCAAAATTCAAAGGGGCAACAG